CCAGCACTTTACATGTACTAACTCATTTAATACTAAACTGTCAGGGCAGTTCTACTCATATCCTCCCCATTTTACAGATGAGGCAGAGAAATTAAGAAATGTGCTCTAAACCACCCATCTCACAAAAAGCCTGGCCACAGCTACACATTCTAATGCTGCAAGTATCTTCTTTGCTATCCCTAAACTACTTTTTAAATTTTTTTTTTAAACATTTATTCATTTTTGAGAGACAGAGCATGAGTGGGGGAGGGGCAGTGAGAGTGAGAGAGAGAGAGAGAGAGAGAGAGAGAGAGAGAGACAAAATCAGAAGCAGGCTCCAGGCTCTGAACCGTTAGCATAGAGCCCAACTCGGGGCTCAAACTCACCAACCACAAGATCATGACCCGAGCTGAAGTCAGATGCTTAACCAGTTGAGCCACCCAGGCACCCCTCCCTAAACTACTTTTAAGGGGCGCCTGGGTGGCGCAGTCGGTTAAGCGTCCGACTTCAGCCAGGTCACGATCTCGCGGTCCGTGAGTTCGAGCGTCGGGCTCTGGGCTGATGGCTCAGAGCCTGGAGCCTGTTTCCGATTCTGTGTCTCCCTCTCTCTCTGCCCCTCCCCCGTTCATGCTCTGTCTCTCTCTGTCCCAAAAAAATAAATAAACGTTAAAAAAAAAAAATTTAAAAGCTATGGTTCTAATGGGGACATGGTGAAGGCCTAAATCCCATGCAGGTAGCTCCAATCACTTATTTTGAAAAATAAAAGGTACCAAAGTTAAGGGATTAATAAAAAGCAATGAAAACATACACAAAACCACGTATTTGTTACAAATTAAAAATGCTGAAAACTTATGCACAAATGTTTCTAAACGTATTACTTTTTCCTCAATTTGTAAACAGATTATGTCTTGTAACTCAAAGCTAACAATATGATGGGAAGAGTTTTAAATACCTAATTATTTAAATGAGATCAAAGACAGCTTTTTTTTTTTTAAGTTTATTTTTATTAAGCGGGGGTGGGGGAGGGACAGAGAGAGAACCCCAAGCAGGCTCCCTGCTCTTAGCGTGAAGCCCGACACGAATCGTGAGATCATGACGGGAGCCAAAATCAAGAGTCTGATGCTTGACTAACTAAGCCACCCAGGTACCCTAAGGAGAGTCCTGATATATATAATGAAGTGGCTCAAATTTCATAACCTCATATATTATCCCAAATGGATTAAGTTTTATAAAAACTGATTAAAAAGGCTAATCAGAAACAAAGAGGGAAAAAATTGAGTACTGTGATTGATACAGAACTATTATTTAAAAAGCCTGTTTTTTCTAAGACAAAATAATAATTTTTCCTTGGTAAGTAGCTGAAAACATTTTTTAAAACCCTAAGAAAAAAAGGGCAGAGACACCAAGGGAGATTAACTGATAAAAGTAAGCTCTTTCTCTTGAAGAACACTCAAAAATTAGCCTATTACATGTTTTGACATTTCTCATTGTTAAAGCCCTTCCTTACACTGAGCACTTTAATTTCATCTGTTGAAATAAAAGTGGTTTCTGAAAACAAGACAATTAACATCTTTACTTAGATTTTAGATATTTAAAGAATCTTGGCTAAACATTCATGTTCCACACACATCTGTTACTTCTCTGTATTTTGTTAAAGTTAAAAGAAAACACACAAAATTTAGTCCACTGGGAAAGAGGAGGGAAAAATATTTCACCCCATATATTTGAACAATTTAATGGACACTGGGATGGCTCAGTTGGGTAAACAATTGACTCTTGATTTCGGCTCAGGTCATGATCTCACAGTTTGAGATCGAGCCCCAAGTCAGGCTCTGTGCTGACAGCGTGGAGCCTGCTTGGGATTCTCTTTCCCCCTCCCTGGTTCTCTCTCTCAAAATAAATGAATAAACATTAAAAAAAATTTAAAAGCATACATGTATTTTTGTAAGATGCTACCTTAAAACTATTTTTTTCAATAACGAACTTCTCCTTTAGTATGCAAATCATTTGGTTTCCCTGCACTTATTTTACTTATTAATTCACTTTAATTTTTCATTTCAAGTTGTACTTTTTTTTAAAGTTCACTTACTTATATAAGTAATCTCTATACCCAACGTGGGGCTCAAACTCAGCACCCCAAGATCAAGAGCTGAATGCTCTTCTGAGCCAGCCAAGTTGTACTTCAAAAATCAGAAATAAGAAAGCCTTGATATGGGCGCCTGGGTGGCTCAGTGGGTTAAGTGTCTGGCTCTTGATTTTGGCTCAGGTCATGATCCCACAGTTCGTGAGTTTGAGGCCCACATCAGGCTCCATGCTGATAACATGGAGCCTGCTTAGGATTCTTTCCCCATCTCTCTACCTCTCTCCCACTCAAGCTGATGCTCTCTTTCAAAACAAAAACAAACTTAAAAAAAAAGAAACAAAGACTTGATAAAACCACTAAAATCTAATAGAAGAATGGAATTAGAAATCAAAATATAAAAAACAATGTAAGGTCCAGCATATGCCTTGTCCCAATTAGGGCTTCAGAGGAACTTTGATAAAAGAAGAATAAATGCTTACCAGACATTTCAAGCTCTAACTAGCATGTTTAAAACTGATTTCATTTTCCTTACACATCAGTGTCTTTTTCTGACCTACAAAACTTGTTAATGGTATGAACTATTCCCTGTTCTTTAAAATTTTGAGTGTTTTGTTTTCTTCTTTACTGCTACAATCAGGTAGAGATCAAATACTGTCAACTCTTTTTTCCCCTCAAATTTCTTGCTCACTTATTCCTTCCCCTCTCTCCGTCTGACTCTAGTTTCATGCATGCAGATGTATTGCAAAAATATCTTGTCTCCCTACCTCCAATTCCTGTGTCATTTCTTCAGTCACACTGGACACTGTTTCCAATAGTACATTTTGTGTACATCATATCCCTCTGTGCCTATTCAAAAACCCTCAACAAAAATAACTAAAATTAAAAAAGAAATCTATAAGGAAAAATATCTGCAGCCAATTACTAAATATTATATAAAAAACTCAAAGAAATAAAACATCAAGACTCTCACATAAATGGACAGAGATCTTAAAGAGAGAACTTGTCTAGTACCAAGAATCAGTTGAAATTGCAGAAAAAGGTCCTAATTCACTAGTTAACAACAAAAATATTACAAGGAAAAGGAGAGCTCAACATATTTTGCACTTATCAAATTAGCAAAAATGATTATAATTATATACTACCCAATTCAGGTAGCTAATGTCAGAGAGGGTGACAATCAATCCTGAAACAACGGTCCAAAAGACTGAAAATATTGTACGCACATAGATGATAAATGCAGAATACTGAAAAACCTGAAACCTAAATGGTCAAGAAATACAAAAATTAAGCTGAAGATAAAACAGTTTGATGGATTGTTTTCACACATCAAAATTATAATGGGTACTGTGTGGTCACACTGAATGCTTATTACAACATTAAAGGAACAAAAAAAAAGTAAAAATTAATAATAAAGAAAAATATGCATAAGAACAAGGACATTTAAAAAATCTAATCTTAGGGGCACCTGGGTGGCTCACTTGGTTAAGTGTCTGACTTTGGCTCAGGTCATGACCTCAAAGTTTCTGAGTTTGAGCTCTGCCATCAGGCTCTGTGCTGCTGGTGTAGAGCCTGCTTGGGATTCTCACCATCTCCTCTCTCTGCCCCTCCCCCACTTGCCTTTTCACGCTCTCTCTCAAATTAAACAAACTTAAAAAATAAAAAAACAAACCAATGTTATCAGAGTGGGATTAAAAGAGATGGGTTTAGTTGCATTGTGATTTGTTAAAATGTGAGACTAAACAAAATAATCTTTATTTTCTGCTCACATCCCAGCTTTCAAAGCCCTCACAAGGTTCCCAAACCAGTATAGAGGACAAGCACCCCACATAATCGATGTGAAGCTAATTCTAGAAATGTTGACAAGCTGACCTCATGCAATTTTTCCAATGTAATCTTTAGTCATTCATCCTCTCCAAAATGGTTTATTCACTTCCCCAAACATAACTTTCTTTATATAATTATGTTCTTAATCACCATTTTCCACCCACTAAGAAAGTCCGAGATCTTCCTTTCTTCTAATTTTACAAATGATCTCTCACTAACCCTGAAAAGCCTTCAATGATTACTAAACAAATTTCTTTTCATTCTGCATTATAAAACAATTTGTATTTTATTTTATTTTATTTTTAATATTTTTATCATTTAAGACAGAGAGAGACAGGGCATGAGCAGGGGAGGGGCAGAGAGAGAGGGGCACACAGAATCCAAAGCAGGTTCCAGACTCCGAGTCGTCAGCACAAAGCCCGATGCGGGGCTCGAACTCACGAACCGTGAGATCATGACCTGGGCTGAAGTCGGACACTTAACCAACTGAGCCACCCAGGCACCCCAACAATTTGTATTTTAAAAAACAATTAAATCTCAACCGTATACTGAACTTTGATAAATTATCTTGTAAGCCATGATTTAAATCTTTAAAAACTTTCCTGCACTGATTGAATCTTTTGCAATAACTCCATTAACTTTACACATGTTTAATTATATTCTTTCTTTTATTAAGAGTAAGCTCCTTTAGCATAGATCCTTGCCATGTAGGAACATAAGCAGATCCCTAGATCAGCGTGTACCCCAATCCTAAAATATGCCTTCATTCTAGTCTAAATTATGGGTGAAAACACCCAGTAATCTCTGCCTCCACACGGCCATAAAATCAGCAGTGACTACCAATAGGGCAAAAGACCACACAGGCATTGCAAAGATAGCTTTGTTACAAAAAAGCAAATTATGTAACTTTCCAAAAAACAACAAAACCATTAGCAAAGCAGGTATGTTCAACACAGCAATCAATCTGTTCTACTTCTCAACATAGACATTTATAGAAACTGTACAGTGAAACAAATTCTATCATTTTTCAAGATACACACATATGTAACATATGTATATAACATACTAACTGTTGATCTTAATTACTAAATAAAAGACAAGTAAAACTACATACCAGAAACAGAATTTTCAACAGTAGATCCAGGTCTTTTAAAACTGGAACATCTTCCTTCATTTTCCCACAAAATGAGGTTTATTCTAAAAAACAAAGACTTCCTTTAGTTTTGAGTATGCCACAATCCTCAGAACATAGTCTATTTAATAATCTTAAAAAACAATGAAACAAAAATTTCACTTCTAAACACTTTCACTGATGAGATCTCTGTCACCTATTTTAACATGGGCTCAAAAAAATCATGAATATGTTCAGAGTGTTCCATCATTAAAAATCCAGAAATGGGAACCACATAAATGGGTAAACAAATCCATAGGAATGTTCTAATTTGGGGATTTCAGTGTAAAATACTACCTCAAGAAGCTAATTATAAAGCCTCGTTTGAAGCCTTGACCAAATAAATAAAACATTCTGCCTTCAAAATAGCTTTCTATCACAGAAACACCATTAAAAATGTTTGTGATTTTGTTTTTGTAAGGAACATTATTCTAATAGTTTGGACTCAATGGTTACAAAAAAACAAATCAATCATAATTAATTTTTCTCATTAATACCTATGAGATGGTCTAGTGACTTTTCAGTTAATATTCACCTACAGTCACCTCCCATTAAGAGATCATAATGCCCTTAAGATTCTTACTGGGCTCTCTAAATCTATGTTGTATTAGCAATTACAAATCAATTCAATATGAAAACAAGTATTTGGATCATTAAAACAATTTTGAAGGCTAATACAGCATCTGTGGCACATTACAAGTTCTTAGAAGAGTATTACTGTTAAAGAAAACATTAAGCTGGTTTATTTCATATACTTTACAAAAGCACATACGGGTTCATAAAAAAGACTGACAGAACACCTATCATGTATTAAGCAGGGAAACTAACAGCGACTAAAACCTCAGTTGCTGCCCTCTGGGAATGGAGTCTCAAACTAGGGAAGAGCCTAAGAACTGCACAGCAAATGTGATGAGAGACATATAAAGGTTCCTGTGAGGGTAAAAAAGCACACAGAAAATGCCCATAAAGATGGAAAACTTTAAGGAAGGCTTCGAGGAAACATAAAATAAACTATACCATAAAAACAGTAGTTTTTAGTATCCTCTAAATGTCACTTCTGTGCAGCAAAATGTTCCACTATACAAACGCCTACCTATTTGAGAGTGAAAAATAAATTCGTTTTAAAAAAATCACTTGTAAGGTCCCATAAAAATTCTTAAACTTATTTTAAAAATTTTAATTCTACTTGAATAAAACACCCGAGAGAAAATTTAAAAAATAAAGCGAAAAAAAAATCCACAACAAAACAAAAACTGAGGGAAAAAATAAACGGAAAAAGAAAAACAAAAAATGTAAGTACAGTAAAAGCAAAGCTTTCTGATGGGCAGCTGTACAAAGCCTTAAATGCACAATCCTTTTAGCTTATTCCCATTTCTAGGGATTTATTACAAATAACCAGGAATGTAAAGAAAGATCTAGATGCCTAAAAATTTTAGCCACAGACGTCCGTTCTCAGACAAAATCTTTTCTAAAACATGCACCAAGATACCAATTCTATCACTGCTGTTATAGAAAAATTAAAATATCATCCAATTATATAAATTATATCTATCCTACAGAAGACTATGCAACTATGAAAAGTGCTTTATGGGCAAAATATTTCCCATGTTCCTAGTTTTTTCTATAAAGAAAAAAATGAGTGACAAGATAACCATGACTAAAATGACCTTTATTATTATTTTTTTTCAACGTTTATTTATTTTTGGGATAGAGAGAGACAGAGCATGAACGGGGGAGGGGCAGAGAGAGAGGGAGACACAGAATCGGAAACAGGCTCCAGGCTCCGAGCCATCAGCCCAGAGCCTGACGCGGGGCTCGAACTCCCGGACCGCGAGATCGTGACCTGGCTGAAGTCGGACGCTTAACCGACTGCGCCACCCAGGCGCCCCGACCTTTACTTTATAAAACAACACTGATGAAAAATAAAGACCCCTCTGTGTCACACAGAACTACAACATAAACTATAATTGCCTTTTGGTGGAAGAAATACAAGAGACTGGTCTTTTCTTCTTTAGGCTTTTTAGTAATTTCCAAATGCCCACTGACATGCATTATTTGGATCAGATAGTAAGTTTTAAGTTGGTAGTAGAATTATAGATGATTACTCCCTGGGAAGTTCAGCAGTATTATATCATGTTATAATTTTCTTAAGGAAAAAAAAAACCAATCACTTCTAAACTTCTACTAACATATTTTTTCTATGTGCCAAATTTTTAAGTAGGAAAAAAAAACATGAAAATGTTCATATTATTCTATGACAAAAATATTAAGTACTCAAAAAAATCCAGAAATGGGAACTACACAAATGGGTAAATAAATTCATAAACACGTACTAATTTTGAGATTTCATTCACATCAGGAAGCTAATTATACAGATTTATTTATCTGGTTTTTTTTTTTTTTTTAAATTTATTTTTGAGACACAGAGAGACAGAGCATGAGCAAGGGAGGGTCAGAGAGAGGAGACACAGAATCCAAAGCAGGCTCCAGGCTCTGAGCTTTCGGCACAGAGCCCAACGCGGGGCTCAAACTCACGGACCGTCAGATCATGTCTAGAGCTGAAGTGGGGCGCTTAACCGACTGAGCCACCCAGGCGCCCCTACAGATTCATTTAAACCCCTGGTCAAACCAAACTTCTTTCAACCACCATTCTTCCTTTTTGTATTTATGGCTTTATTGGCAGACAACAGTGGTCTGTAAAATTTTAAGTCTACCCATTCTAAAGATTATTCACAGAAATTAAAACTTACCTCAGTAATACTTTAGGATATGACACTGAGAGATTTTGGTTTTCTTCAGACCGCCTGCCAAAAAAAAAAAAAATCCACAATAAATGATTAAATCATACAGCCATTTTCTAGGCTGGATCCCCACTGATGCAGCAGTAACAAAGGTACAACAAGACTTAAGTTTAATTTTTTTTTAAACTTGTTTTTATTTATTTGGAGAGAGAGAGCACAAGTAGGGGAGGAACAGAGAGAGAGGGAGAGAGAGAGTGAGAGAGAATCCCAAGCAGGCTCCCTGCTGTCAACGCAAAGCCCAAGTGGGGCTGGAACTCAGGAACTGTGAGATCAGGACCTGAGCGGGAATCAAAAGTCGGAGGCTTAACCGACTGGGCCACCCAGGCGCCCCTAACGAAAATAGGTTTAAACAGCTATCTAGACCAGCATGACTAGGTCACTCAAAAACAGCTACACTCCATTTTCTTAGTAAGTAATTTTGAGAAAAATCACTGCAGTGATCACTGCAAAAATCTAGTTAGGTATTAATTTTGAATAAACGTAGTGTGGATTATCGACGATATTTCACATTTCCTTATTTCATTCTTTAGAACTTGCCAATTAATACTCCATTTCCACCATTTCAAATGTGTTTTAACAGAACACAAAGATTCTGCTAACAGAACAAAATCAATGGCTGCCCTGAACAAAGTCCTATCGGGGAGGTCTTCTCATTTAAAGTGTTTTCAGTCTAACCCGAACTTTAAAAAAAAAATAAAATAAAATAAAGTGTTTTCAGTCCCTACAAAACCACTACTGTTTCCTTTTTAAAAAGTAGCACAGGCTTTGTGCTAAGCGGCAGAGCCGCCTGAGGTTAGAGTAGCAGGGTCTGGGCCAGCTGGTGATTCCACAACCTGCTGCTTTCTGCAGCTTCCTCAAAGCTTAATCGCGCGAGGAGCACGCGGAAACCTCTCTCCCGACTCAGCTAGGTCTAAGCACCTTGGCTTCCCCGTGTTAATTAATGAGGCGCCCACAGAGCTGGCACTTGGGTAGGGAATATGACAAGTTCGCGAAACGCACTTCCAAAGGGAGGAAGAACTGATCGGAGAGGAGAATCCAGAAAATCTCTCGAGGGGTGCCAAGGATCAGCCAGGAGAAAGAGACGTGCACGTCCCCTCCGCCCCTTTCTCTCGCGCGGCGGGAGAGGAGGCCTCGCCCCCTTTCATCCCGCCCCCTGCTCCCCACCCCGCCGCAGGGAGAACTTACTTTGCCATGGCCGCCGCGCGGCCCGTCCACTTCCGGTGCCGGTGCCGCTAAAGCTGCGCCATCCCCTAGTCACTCGGACAGCCACAGCTTCCAACCGACCTGTTGACAGGTTCGCGACTCCTCCGACCTTCACTAGGTGCTGTCCTGGAGTGAACCGTGGATAGGTGCCGCACTAAAATGAATCTACAGGATACACAGTCGGCTCTCGTCTCGCCAGAAACGTAAAATGCGATAGAGCTGCGACCACCGCCGCTCAGACAAAATGGCGCCGAGAAGCCGGTTTAGCGCAGGCGCCTTGGAAAGACCCTGCCCCGCCCCCGTGCAAATGCTGGCCGCAGCTCCGGGTTCGGTTTCCATGGGACACTTCGCCGCCAATCCTCGTGCCGAACTGCTCTTCCTGACCCTTCAATTTACCAATCAGTGCTCAGTCATGCACATCCGGAGTCGTCTCAACCAATCATTTTTCAGAACCTGCTTACTCAATACCCAATTCTCCAGTAACGTTAGCCTTCGGAGACAGCCAATCATAAGTGGAAGATGTCCTACCTGCTGTTTTTCGCACCAATCCGTGAAGTTTCTTAGCTACATCCAATGAGGACGGCAGGTAGCGAGCTCCAATCCAAAGCTCTTCGGCGTCATGAGCAGCCAATAGGAGTTCGTGTAGAAGCGAGTCTGCTCAACAGCTTGTTATTTGGTGGATTGTGGCAGTAAATCGGGCGAGTGGGGAACCGGGCGCAGGACCTGCCGCCGCGGCCGGGAGTGGTGCTGCCCGGACGGGGGCCCACGGGGGTCAGTGGGGCGGAGGACTCGGAAGCTGACAGCGCGCACTTCACCCGCAGTTAGTAGGTGAGGAGAAGGGAAGTGGGGGATACTGAGTGGACGAAGCGGCAGTAGCAGCTCGAGCTGCTAGCAGCCCGGGGTCCCGGTGCAGTTGGAAGCTTCGCAGGTGGGGAGGGGGTGCTGGGCAAGCGGTGCGGCGAGCGCAGGGGAAGGGGCAGGTCGTGGAGCCGCGGCAGCAACTGCAGGAACCGCCGCCGCAGCCTCCTCCTCGGCTGCTTCCCTGGGAAAATGGCTGTGGGGCTGGCCGCGCCGCTAAGTTTGCTTCCGTGCGATGAGAAGCGGGCTGCTTGGGGGAGCCGGCCCCCAACTCCGCAGCGCGTCCTCTCCTGTGCAGTCTGTGGCTGGACCCGAGGGGCCAGGGGCAGGTACCACTCTGGGCTGTACAAAAAGTTGAGGCGGGCGCGGGGAGGAGGCGGCGGCTGCCGCTGTGCGGCTCCCCTCCCCTCCCACACCCTCTCCGGGCCACCTCCCTCCTGCTCTCCGCCCCCCCCCCAGCCCCCTCCCTCGCGCCGGTCTCCCCTCACTCTCGCGCCTCCGGGCTGAAGGCCGCGGCCCCTGCCCCATCGGTGAAGAAGCGCTTCTCCTTTCTGACATGGTGCAGAGCGGAGGAAGGAGAGCAATGGCGCCGTGACACTCCGCTGCCGCCACCGCGGGCCCGGGGCGGGCCGAGGGGGCCGAGCGGCGGAGGCGGGGCGCGGGCCGAAGTCGGGGTATCAGGGGGGCTGCCGCGCGAAAGCTCGGCTACCGCGCCTGGGGGGAACCTGGAGAAGCCCAAACGGCGCCCTGCTCTTTTCCAGAGCGCTCCGACCTGGGGCTCCGAGTTGAGCATTCCGGGTCAAAGTGGCGAGCGAGGCGGGGGCGCGGTGGGCCGCTGGCGAACTCCGGGGAGGAACGGTTTGCCCTTTGGCGCCCGAGGGGTTCTCGCCGTTTCCTCAGCTCCTGCGTCCTGGCTGCCCTCCGGGGGATCGGCTCCCTTCGCTGGTTAGGGTTCTGCCCCTCCCCGCTGGCGTTTGTTTACTTTCTTTCCTTGGGTCGCTCCCCTCTGTTGACTGATTCTGTGCCTGTCTTTCCCCTCCCCATGATTCTAGCGACGGAGAAGATAGCTCGCTGAGCTGGAACCCCACAGATCGCCAGTGAAAATGAAGGTAAGTGGAGTCAACGCTGCTCTGAACCTCGTGCCCTGGACACTGCTTGTCGTGAGGCTGCTGCTGTGGAATGTCATTTTTTTTTTTTCCGCTACTTGAAATTGATTCTTCTACTAAGCAGCGCTTTCTGAAAATGAGGACGTGTTGAAAGAGTGAGAAATGATCATTGTGTCTAATGCAGTCAGTCCGGCCCCTCTCTGAAGCAGTTAGCACTTTGGAAAGGCTGGTGCAGCCTTTCCATTGTTGTCCATTGGGCTAGTATTTTTAAACACTTCCTGTGTTGGCAGCAGCCTTTGCAGAAGTAAAGCTTTTGTCCTGTTTGGTTCTTTGGGGGATTTTTTGAAATTTTTTTCTTCCTCAATGCCAGCATGATTTTCTAAGGAAGGAATATGTGGATTGTGCAAGGGAGATAGCGGCTCTTCTCTGAAATTTTGTAGCTAAAATATTTGAAGGTGGACTAAAGCTACTAATGTTTTGTTTCAGTTGTTGTAGTAAATATTTTAAAACATACTGCAACCTGAAAAGATACTCTTCTGAAGACAGCTAGTAGTGCAAACATTGTATGTGATGTCTGAAGGGCAAGGAAGGTATAGCTTTGTGTAGTGCAGTGGCATTGAATGTTTCAGATCAGATATTTATTTGCCAGAGTGTTCCTCTTCAATTTGCATTATCTGTAAATGAACTGACTTTAAAAGGTATTTGATTCCTTACTCATTTACTGTCTCAGTGTATTAAGCTCTGAAATACAGCATTCCCCTAAACTTTCTTGTTTTCCTATCTTCTGGAAATGACATGTTACTTTCTTTACTGTTACTTGGAAAAACTTACTGGAAAAGGAAACATCATTTTCTACTTAAAAGTATCATTTCTAAAGTGTACACTGTTACCTTTGCATTTAGCAGTGTTAGCTCCATTGAATTGAGCCTATATTGAAAACACTTAACTTTGGGGCGCCTGGGTGGCGCAGTCGGTTAAGCGTCCGACTTCAGCCAGGTCACGATCTCGCGGTCCGCGAGTTCGAGCCCGCGTCAGGCTCTGGGTTGATGGTTCAGAGCCTGGAGCCTGTTTCCGATTCTGTGTCTCCCTCTCTCTCTGCCCCTCCCCCGTTCATGCTCTGTCTCTCTCTGTCGCAAAAATAAACAAACGTTGAAAAAAAAATTAAAAAAAAAGAAAACACTTAACTTTAAAAAAAAGGTAAAATGACAAAGAGTAGCTATCATTCTCTTACCATCAAGATTAAGATGAATGGTAGCATGAAATTTGCCACATCTTTCAATGTATCATTCTGATCATGACCATTTGCTAAAAAGTAGATATTTTTTAGTAAAGCTTATTTTTTTCTACACCAAGAAGATTAGTGTGATAAATTAGGTACAGCTCCAAGTTTGGAGCCATCAGTTCATATCTCTGCATTCATCAGCTGAATTTAGACTTAGATTTTTTAATATGTAGCTTTTAGCTAATGATTCCCCCAGATAATGCTCTCCTTATCAAAAGGATTGGCTTCATTTCTTATCTATGCAGATATACTGTGTCCAAAGAGATATTGCTTTAATGTAGCTATATTATTAAACATTTAACCATGTCTTGTTAGTATTAATCTTAACAGTGATATTTCTTCTAATTTTAAAACACAATTTCCAGGAGGCCATAAGTGAATAACTCAAAGTTTTATGAGACACTTACTATGAGTATACCTTTTCTGGTTTTGGAGGTCTTTTTATTTTGTATTTTTAATTTAATTTTATTATTATTATTGTTAAGTAAGCTCTACACCCACCATGGGGCTTGAACTCACAACCCCGAGATCAGGAGTCGCATGCTCTACCAACTGAGCCAGCCAGGTGCCCGTTTTTTTGTTTGTTTGTTTGTTTGTTTCTTAATGTGTTCATTTCTTAAATTATAGAATTGTTGAAACATTTTATATCTGGAAGAAAAAACATTATCATATTTCCTTGCTGATACTTCTCAGTTACTAAGAACTTAAACGTTTTCTGTTGTCAGGATATAGTTTATGCAGTAGGGGAATGCAAGTGCTTGCTTAAGGGGTATTTTCCAAATTATTAATGCTAGTAATAAACAGTACTGTTAATATTCTTAGCACTTTAAATGTAGAACCTTTTAATGTGGCTTAAGGTTGGAGTGTAGGGGAAAATACTAGTGACATTCACATTTTGTGTTCTTTCATCAGGCGGCGGATGAGCCTGCCTACCTGACAGTGGGAACTGATGTCAGTGCCAAGTACCGAGGTGCCTTCTGTGAGGCAAAAATTAAGACTGTGAAAAGGCTGGTAAAAGTTAAGGTAATTTTTTTTTTTTCATGCAACCTGGATTGAGGAGAGTTGGGGAGGAGACTGCAAATCAACATTTTACTGAATCATGACTTCCTGAATCATTATTATGTGAAAGCACTGTTATATACAAATCTATAGGAAAAGCACATTAAGAATTGAGAAATAAAGAACTCGAAATGAGAAGTTATTCCAAAATGCTTCTCTGAAAATACCACATTCATGAGACTTCCTTTTATTTGGCTCTCTGCTGTTGTGGCATGCTTACTTAGGCTGTGATCTCTCTTCTCCCCTTTCATAATATTCAGGTAGAGATGATTTCAAGTGATTAGGAAAAATAATATAGTGGAATTGTTTTAAAGACCATGTTAAAAATGGTTTAAGAATTTTATTTTTAAGGTTCTTTTATGACCAGAAAAAAGTTACTGCATTATTTCTGTATAATATTTCGAAATACCGAAAAGTACCAAAAGATTAATACCCATCGCTTACCTCTCAGAAACTATTAACATTTTCTTGTTTCATTCCAGTAGTTTTCCCACATAAATGTTTTTAATAATCGTACTTAAATTACGAAAGCAATCCACACTTACTATAAACATCTTTAACATTACAGAGCTATGTAAGAAAGTTCATGAAAGTCCTCTTTGATACTACTACAGAGAGATTTATATGGTCTGTCAGATATTGTGCAGAGCCTACTGTAACAATGTTGTTGTTGTTGTTGTTGTTGTTGTTGTTGTTGTTGTTAGATCATGCTGTACTTTCGGTTTTGCAGTTTGCTTTTCACTTACATACCTGATCTTTTCCTGCAAGTGAAGCACCATAAAAGGAGGAAATGTTTGACTTGTTCTATCCCCAACACCTAGACTGGTGCTTGATACATAGTAGACACTCAAAATACGTTGAATGGGTAAATGAACTGGAGCAGGTATTTTCAAAGTGTGGCCCTGGACTAGCAGCATCTGCTTCATCTGGGAACTTGTTTGAAATGCAGATTCTCAGGCCCTGACCCCAGACCTACTGCGTCAGAAAGTCTGGCCGTAGGGTCCAGTGATTGTGTTTTAATAAGCCCTTCAAGTGTTTCTGCTGCATGTTGACGTTTGAGAACCAGTGAATTAGAAGAGTATGATTTGTGTGGTAGAGAAATAGATTTATGTGATTATTATGAGATTTGTGTTTCAATTTTGATCTGGTGGAATTTTTCTTCAAGTACTGTTAAGATATCATTTGACATTTATTTCTTTGTTTCATTTGGCATTTTTACTATGTCAGCTATATGGGATTTGACTACTAAATATTTACTTGGACTTCTTTGAGAACTTAAACTTTCTGTTAGTATTGTGGCTCTAGA